TTCGAATGACAAAAAAGAAGATTGCGGCTTGAAAAAGAAATCTTCAAATGTCACTCTGAGTTGAATGGGGAAAATGTTGAAATGAAACCTATCAGAATATGGTTAAATCATAGTTGGGCCAATCAAAGAAAACTGGTAGAGGTTGATTAATTCCGAGGATTAACTTGATAAATTTTGTAGAGATGCTTGGCGAATTCAAACTAGCTTGACGAAGATTGTACAGCGCCTAGTCAATAATTCACGGCAAAAAAACTAGCGTTTACCGTACCGAACACGTAGATTGAATTCACGGAAAATGCAAACGTTTACACATGTTTTGCGTATGGAAAATCCAACATTTTCTATGCGTTTTCCCATCGGTGAATCCCAGTTTTCGTTCCATTATACGGTAGTTTTCCCTCGCGGTAAATGCAAGTAAATAAATCATTTTCCGGCATTGACCGCTCGGTTAACGCACCGCAAACAGCTTGTTTTCCTTTTGTTCATTGGCATTTTCCCAGTGTACAACAACGTATTCACCGGAGTTTGCGGCTGAAAACACGCATTTTCCTTGAAGGTTAATGTGTGTAAATGCAGGAAAACGTAATGATTTCCTGCGTTTGCCGTTCGTACAACGCACGGAAATACACGAACCATTTTCAAAGAGTGTTCTGCAGTGATTGAACATCAAAATAAATGTAATGGACCTTTCAGAATCTGTTAATCCGTTTTCACACAAGCACAAGCTACACAATACAGTAAGTTTCTACGATTTTTGTTAGGCCTAGAAGGGATTTGAACCCATGACCTCTGCGACACCAATGCAGTGCTATACCAACAAAGCTGGCAAGACCACTGGGGGCTGGTCATTATCTTAGCCTCATAATAAACCCGTGAAGTAATGAATCAATGACTGTGAATACATGAAAGTCATTTACATGAATTGTGCATTAAGAATTGGGAGCTTGTCTTAATATCGGCTCGTAAAAAACTCGTGAAGTGAAAATCACATTAGCTCGATTGGTAGAGCACTGCAGCGGTATTTCAAAGTTCATGGATTCAAATCTCGTATGGCCTGAACTTTTCAGGCTTTATTTTCACTACTGCTTAAGTAGTGCTCCCTGCTGCGAAGATCGCTTTCATATTTAATCCGCAGTTCCCATACACGATTTTCATATATTCACGGTCATTAGCTTTATTTTCTCTTTTGTAGGCAAGAATCTCGGGTACGAAAATTTGAGAGAAATTTCTTTGCTTTAATGGCCTAAAACGAAATCAAAGATCACCATTTTTTTTTAAATACACCGAGAGGATTTTGACAGGGATTTTGAGGAGAACGTAAGTCATATTCGGAGATTTATCAACCGAAGAAGAAATGAACGATAAAGGCACAGGTAGCCCAGGCTCGCTGGATGCGCCCTAGTAAATGTGCAAATATGGGTACGCTCTCTCGCACTCGGAGGAGACTATAGTTCACAGCGGTCAGGTTCGGGCGGCACAGTTTGGCACTAGCCCTAAGATGTGTGTTGCTAAAATTTTCACAGAATTTAGAGTAGATGTAAATTCCTATATTACCTCATAGATAAGAGGAAAATAAAGCCTGTAATCTTGCAGTTTGCTAGAACCGGACATAATACTAAGAAAAAAAAAATCCATTTTGATTATTTACAATCGACAGCCTAATTGATACGGCGCTATTGTTTGCCACAGCGAAAACAACACTAAAATTTTTGCAGAAAAGAAGAAAGGAGCTTTGAATGGGGCATTTTGATGAAGTGAAAAATAACCCAACAAACTCTGCTAATATATCAAAAATGCTTATGGCAAAGTTTGAAACTTTTTTCTTGTTTTATTACATTTCTCAAGAGAGAAGTCCTTATTTTGTCAACTTCTTTAAAGTTTCCATCGGTAAGTCGAGGAAATTTCAATCAACACACTGCCTTACACTTCTAGTAGTTTGTTCGATAGTTAAAGAAATTCAAAATGTATTTTTGGAGAAAAATTGATAGGGAAATAAAGCTCCTTACTCTCTATCGAACATACTTTCTGTGTTTTGTGGTCAAGACCGCAGGAGTTGCAGATCATCTCAGAGACGCAAAGAGGTCTTAATACATTGGTTGGAGTTGCAAGGTCTCCGAAATTTCAAGCCTTGGAAGTACAACTTTTGGTCACGGCCATTTCAACCCAAATTTTTAGCGAAAACACAATGATTTTACAGGCTCTACACTGAGTAAAGAAGTTTCTATATTTGGATCTCACCTACCCTGGTATCTATTGGGTCATTGCGCGATATTATCGAAAAACACCTGTTTGACCAGACTTTAAAGGCTGAACGCACGCAAACCATGCTAATAAAAAACACGTCTAGTGCATGGGTAGCCGTTCAAGTCTTCCAACTTGTATTATAGTATAAACTGACGGTAGAAAAGAAGATAAAGAATCATACAAGGATTCACAACGCAAATTTTATAAGAACTTATATCGTAGCAGAAATGTTAATCTAGATAATGCAGAATCATCG